CCCCAAAACCCCAAAACCCCAAAACCCCAAAACCCCTAATTTCTCCAGGTTATTGAAGATACTTATAATAATTCAGTTAGTCAGGAATCATGTCAAACTACAAAGCACCCACAGAGGGCCGGAATCGTAGAAGAGTTAAAAGGAAATCCCTACTGTTTGGAAAATCACCTTTGCTCTGTTCCATCGTGAATTCCCGCACTGAGTTTTGCAAGCATGAAGGATCTTGCTTCTGAAATGTTTTAAAAGGCATAGTGAAAGGTGGCACCATCGGATTTTGTATAAAGGCTAGTATTGGATTTTTACTCAGGATTTTGAAGACTAAAGATCCCCTAGATGCTTTCAAGAATATTTTTAACAAAGATACAGCAGGATTCACTTTATTCTTTGCATTGCTACCAAGTCTATATAAGCTTTCACTTTGAATCTTAAGAAACAAACGAGGAAACGATGATAAGATCAATTCCATAATTGCTGGAATTTTGAGTTCTTTGGCAGCATTCGTGGACCAAAACCCAGGAAGAAGGAAGATACTCATCTACTATATCTTTGCAAGAGCATTTTACTCAGCAGTAATGATGGTGAAGCATCATGAAATAGCTCCTGTCCCAAAGAACTGGGGCCTCTATATTTGCATCTTTATGCTAAATGTGCTTACTTTGTGGATCTTTTACGAATGGGATGTTGTTCCTAAAAGTATCTATAATATTGTAAGCAAGAGAGCAGGGCAAAGTGTTAATGATAGAATCATGGTAGAATATGTGTTCAGAGAGAAAGGAAAACTCTAATTCTTTATATTTTATCATATCTTTCAAAGATCATGATGTCAGCATTTATTAGATGCTGGTAGATTATTGAAGTTCACAAGCTTCTTCGTCACGCTGAGTTTCTTCAAATTTTTCACATTTAAAGAATATTTTTCTGTCCCGAATTGATTAGAAATCTCAAGCAAATTCCAATATAAGAGTAATTAAGATTGTATTGGTATTTTCAACCAGTTAGAGTTTAAATGGGGTTTTGGGGTTTTGGGGTTTTGGGGTTTTGGGGTTTTGGGGTTTTGGGGTTTTGGGG